TGTACCTCAAGGATCTATTTTAGGACCACTACTGTTCATATTGTATACCAGAGATCTTGAGGAAATTGTCACAAAATATGGTTTCTCGATACATTTGTATGCAGATGACACACAGGTGTACTTTGCTTTCGATGTTCACAGTTCTAATCCTGATTTAACAGCTGTGAAAAATTGCTTTCTGGAGATAAAGCAATGGATGACAGTTAACTTCCTAAAACTGAATGATGAAAAAACAGAGTTCATTGATATAGGACCATATGTCAGCCCAATCCAGACAATGGATTTAGGAGACCTCTCAATCTGTCCTGTTAGCAAGGCCAAGAACCTAGGATTCCTTTTCGATCACCAAATGAATCTGGACTCTCAAATAAATGCTGTGTCCAAAGTATGTTATTTGAATCAAAGGGACTTATCAAGAATCGGTTCAAAGCTTTCTCATGAACTAAAAGTTCAGTTAGTTCACTCCAATATTCTCTGTTTCATAGACTACTGCAACTCAGTCTATTATGGTATAACAGAAAAGAATCTCCATAAGCTACAAAAGATACAGAACAATGCTGCTAGATTTATTTTTGGTCTTTACGGAAAAAATATACGTGAACCTATCATGCCTTACCTCAAAAAGCTCCACTTTTTACCTGTTCGGTTCAGAATCAAGTTCAAAATATCACTTCTGGTCTTCAAGTGTCTTAATAACATAGCCCCTCAGTACTTACAAGGACACATCAATCTAAGGGAAGTACGAAGACAAAGTTCCAGACTAGATGATGACTTTTATTTGTTGAAAGTTCCTCCTGCTCCTCATTTCAGACGAACGGATGCTGCATTTATGTTTTGTGGACCAAAAATTTGGAATGAACTACCCTACTCAGTGAGATCATTATCATCTGTAGAATGTTTTAAAAATGCTCTAAAGACGTTTTATTTCCACCTAGCTTTTGATAATATTTCTAATATTTGTCCATAAAGTCTGAACTGATATGAAAGTGCATAATTTTGGGAACTTCATGCAAATATTTGTTCATAAAATCTGAACTGATAAAAGTCCATAATCTTGGTATTTCAACACTAAGTCTCGCTTGAATGACTTAAATGTACATCTTTGTTGGGTATATTTTAATGTCGAAGCGTGTAATAAATGTTAGAATTTATTTATTTATTTATTTATTTATGTTTTTGATAATGAAATATCAAAATTTTGCTTTTAATTTTGGCTTCGTAATTTCAAATGATTACTGTTTTTCGGTGGGCCCAGCTTGCACAGGAGTTGCATCTGCACTCGACATCTGTGTTTTGGTGACCCACAAGTCATTTGATTACATACATTTTAAGTATTTTGCATAGTAAACTAGCTTGCAAATCCACACTTCTCTTAAGGTATATTTTGTAGTTTATTCCATTTGTATGTTATTGATTGATATTATTATTATTAAATCTAAAATAGCTAATAATTTAATTAATTATTAACAGGCCCCTTAACGTGGGCAATAACATACGCTTTAAAAATTATATATACAAATTCAAGTCTACTTTTCCGATTTTGCTAATTGTCTACCTTACTCGGGATTATTACGACGGGTTTATTAACGACCGGTTAAAATATGGTTCGGGAAAAATATAGATGTAAACATCAGAGAGAGGTCGGTTAATGTATACAAAAATATGGGATGGCTTCCTCTCCATTTGAGACGACAGGTTCATCTTAGCTCATATATGTACCGTATAATCAATGAAACATGTCCAAAGCATTTTATCGGGAAATTCTCGTATATTTCTGGTGGATCACGTGAGGCAGAAAACTGCAATCTTTATACTCCTAAATCAAGATCTCACAAGGAGTTTAACTATCTAGGAACTAAGGCCTGGAACATATTACCAAAGTCCCTTAGAGAGTGTGACGACGTTAAGAAATTTTCTAAGTTATACAAAGAAACTCTTATGAATATGGTGCTAACTGATGAGAATTACCAAGGGGATAACTCTTACGATAAATTCATGATCCCACCCAACACTAGCCAATGTATCTAGGCAGTTATGTTATTTCGGTTAAGTTATCTCAGTACATAGGTGAATCCAATCTATCCCCTGCAATCAAAGTATTTCCATGCCTATTAAGCTATTACAGGAAATTAGGAACATCAGTGGAAAGGTGCACTGTCAATCATTATTGCTCCATACCTCCAGTCCTCCTGTTATGTGCAATTCTCACTGCTATGTATGCTCCTCATTTGTATCAATTATATTGATGCTACATTGTTATTGAATATGAAATAATTTTCAACCGTATTAATTTATTAACTTATTGTAAATAGCAAGTTTGACAAAGGGATTACGTTTATTTTACCCGGAGTTCGTTTAAGTTTAGTATTGTAAATAGTTAATTTGACGAAGGGAATACGTCTATTTTACCCTGAGTTATGTTTTAGTTCAATCTTGACACAATTTTAAAATTATAATTTAATTATTTTATATATATGTATTGTCCATAACTAGGGTGGCCTGCTAACAGAACCATGATCTGCCTTGATTCATCCTTCAGCACAGAGAAAAGCTCCTTTTTTTATACATTATGATTACAGAGGATCTGATATTTAGATATATATTGCTGTGCTGTAAAAATTGACTTTATTTATTTATTTATTTTATTTATGGCGAAATTGCTCAAAACCCACCACATTTTCCCGGTCGCCATTTTACCGGTGTCCAACCTTTCAATTTAGATTCAAAAATTTTGTCTCAGATGTAAATTTCCTTATTAGAAATAAGCAAGTTTAGAAATTTTCGCATTGCTAGTAACGTGTTGGTAGTCTAGCACTCTAGAAAATTCGTTGTTTTGAATTAGCATTAAATGTTTACGTGTATCAAATAACCATTATGACTCAATTTGTAGAAAATCTTCGAAAGAATGCATCGTTCACATTGTTTAGAATTATGAATAAATGACTGATGAAACTGATTCATGTTATTGACAGTTTTAATTAATTCAAGTTTTAATTTAACTGTTACTTTTACTTTGAGTCCTATTTCATTATGTAGAGATAGTCAATACCTAAGAAATTAAAAATTGGCCTATATATACTATTTAAATCAACTTTGACAATAAGGATATATGACAAGATTGGGCAAAAAGGTGAATTTTTTGCAATTTTAGCCAAATGAAGTCGAAAAACCTACAACAAGTGTCCCAATAGTCTTCTTTAGTGAATATAAGACAACGATTAAAATGTGAGAACCCATACCCCTTGGGAACCCTAAAAGCTGAGTCGGCGGGTTTATTAACGACCAGTGAAAATGTGGTTCGGGAAAAATATGGCGAAATTACCCTAAACCCGCCACTTTATCCCGGTCATAATAATCCCGAGTAAGGTATTTAGATCTGTTTGGTCCTTCGTGGGATTTCCCCCATCTGCTGGTTGAGAATGCTCAACGTTATAACATCATGATGCTTGACTACTTTATTGACCTGGGCAGGCACCGGGCCGGGGCAGACGTATTATAGTGGCACAACAAAAGATTCCATTAAAATAAATGCTAAATTCATTGTAATTGTGATCGAATGAAGTTATTCCTCGATACTGGCTTGAATGTAAGTCACGGCATTACCAAAATCCACTTTTTACGCTGTGTGTAATTTTATGAAAGAGGACATATTTTCCTGTGTGACACCTGACACGACACGAAAAACCTACCTACCTACCCCACTCATCCTAAATTCCCATCACTTCAAACCATCTTTACTTTTTTTGAAAAAAATGTTTATGGAAAACAAAAATACGGTAAAACTATTCATGGTATAGAATGCAAAATGAGAACCTGATATGGAAAAGAATTAATGATGATAAGAGAGGCAGATCAGGTTTCAGTTTAAGAAGTTTTGCCAGATGAGCCAAACTATTCTGTCTCTGGTAAATGTGGGAAATTTTCAGCAATACAGACAGACTGCCAAGGTGTTAAAGTATTTAATTATTTTCCTGGTGTATGGTTCACCTATACTATAAGGACAGTTTGAGTATGGCCATTTCAAGGTTACTCCTTGTCCATGCTCACACAGGGACAGAGCGAGAACTTGTGGTTGAAATTAAGGATGGTGTCATGTTGAATGTTGATGAGTCGGGGTGTTATACAATTTTTCAGTAGCACAATGAATAAACAGACAACATCATGTACATGTTTTGCTTTCTGGAGATACGTGAAAAAAGCAGCGGAACTGTCATCTTTTAAATGAGGAGTCTCCAGCATCCCCGTTTTCTGAAAGAGCACTCACTGTTCCTGGTGTTGGGTAAAGAAGAATTGGGCAATTTGGGTGATGTTTCCAGAGTTGTTGTTGAGGGAAACAACTCTGGGAACTCGGAGTTTGTGTGGGCAACAAAATAAAGTAACCATTGAATGCCAGAGACCATGATAGACGGAAAGACGAGGAGGCTTTTGGCTGCTCTTGGAGAAGCATACTGCCTAGTTTGTACAGTGGGTCAAGAAAGTGCCTGTGGGAGGACTGCTACTGCAGTTCCAGATTTCTTCTATGCGAATAGATCTGCGCAGACAACAAGAGCTCTGTGCCAAGCACATGCTGATGAGAGTTAAGAGGTTAAGAGAAAGTAGATGAGGATTTGAACTGTGTCAGTTCCTTACACAGTTTGATCTTATGAGAACATTTTCTTTTGTTTTGCTCCTCCTCTATCATCTCAGGAGTGGCATTTTGACGTGGACCGAATATTCCTTATTGGTGTTATTTTGTATCAGATTTAAACATGTTTTTCGAAGACAGAGAATTTATGTTAACATTTGCATTCATGGTTAATCATCTGCAATGTTAGGACTAACCCTTATTTTAGGTTGGTCAGTGGTCACTGTATTTTATCTTGCAAGCTTAAGGTAGACTGACTTACTGATTGACTTAGGTCGGCTCTAAAGTCCAAGCAAAAGGTAGCTTAAGACCTAGATTCTATAACTGTAGAACTACAAAATGATAGTATACTCTCTGGATATTATTGTAACAAAAGCTTTAACCAAATCTTTTTTATAGGATATCCTTGAAGTCTCAAGATGATGAATTCAATGGTGAGTGATTTAAATTAATTTTTCGAAATAATTAATTAGATTGTAGTATTATGGTGTATTCTTAACACTTTGAGCCCTTATACATATATACACATGTATATCAAGCAAATGGTCAAATGGACTACTTTAAGCAAAATAGCCCATGACTTTATTTGGCTGAACCCTATTGCATTAAAACTCTGATTTACTGTTAAGTTTGGGACAAAGAAAGCAGCTGCAATTAATTATGGTTTTGTTTATTTTTGGCCACAAGGATTATTATGCAAATATTTAACCTGCTGCACTGTTTCTTCTTATCAATATAATTTACTCCCTATATTTTCCGTAAAACTACATCTGAAACAGAAGTTGCCTGTGTCTACTAAAACATGTTAATCTTCTTAAATTTATCAAGATTAATTTTAATATCAATAACAGACTGCGAATTTTTAACATAAGATGGCAACTTGTTCCAAAGCTGATAACACGTTATGATAAAAAGTTATTTGACATACATACATGCTACATGAAGAGGTCTCCTGCATCACACACATCTCTTGTACGACGTAACAGCTTCCTCCATTCCACTTGGTTCAGTGTTAACTGTCGTACTTCATCTCGGCTGATGTTGTCAACACCTGTAAAGTTAGCAGCATCCTCGAGTACACAGGCCATCCAGCCTTTTCGGGGTCTCCCTCTCGATCGCTTTCCATAGTTAGGTTTCCACTCCAGTAGAAAATTTGGTAACCTAGTCTCTGGCATTCTTACGTGTCCATACCACCGTAGTCTAGTAGTACATGAAAGTGTCTGTAGACTTTACGCCAGCACGCCTGAGAACTTCATCATTGGAGACATGGTAAAACCACTTTATCTTCAACATTCTTCAAGATTCTTCTCAGGGAGGTCAGATGGAAAACCTCAAAACGCTTCATCTGCTTCATAGTAGTGTTTTGCACCATTCCAACTAATGTTGGCACCCAGATAGACAAAGTTACTTGTCTTTTTGGTGTTGATCTCCAACCCATCATAAGAGCTGTAGTGAGCGATAAGGTCAGTGGATTCTTGCAACCCGTCTCCGGTATTGTCCATCACTGCCATATCATCGGCATAGTCCCCACATCCAGAAACACGCCATCTTGCCAGGCATTCTGGGAGGAAATTTTTTTGGGAGGAAAAAACGGGAGGAAAAAGAGGAAATTTTTGAGAAGTTACTCCTAAATTTCGAAATATTTGTTTGGAATTCAAATAGACCTCTATAACCAAATTGCTTCCATGGCTTTTATGCCTTTACAAAATTCAAAATTTTTCGCCTGCGGCGGGGTGTTTGCACTCGCCTTGCTCGTGAATTGGTCTATGCCACAGTCAGTGTGTATAACAACTTAGTGTCTATAACAACTTTCACAGCATTTGACAGCATTCTAATATTTCTATCAATATTGTAAATAAAGTGCTAACAATTTTATTTCCTGATCTACTCATATTAAAAATATCTCTCCATACTCAACCAATCCATTCACAATTATTTAGGCTTCAATAAATTTTCCTCTGACCCGCCTGTGCACATGTTGTAATCTGTAATGACTTCAGTCCTAAATCGGAGAGAAAGTCCGTCCAAACTGTGTTTCGGTCCAGGACAGTTCATATTGATCATAACCGATATCGTCTTATTTAAAAAGAAACTAAAAACTCATCTCTTTGAAAACGTATTTGTATAAGTATCATGTATTACCTTTCTCATAAAATCCATACTTCATAAAAATAAGTTCTTATGTACATGTTACTCATGAGTCGCTTTAGATGGTTTGAACTGAATCTTTGGGTTTTGAGTTCTTTATGGCTATAAAGCGATGTATAAATTCCTACTTATTATTATTATTATTATTATTTTAAAATTTACTACCGGTAGTACATTTTGGTGACCTCCAGTATCTCAATTGTGTCTCATGCCATCCATAATTACACAGCATATATCTGATCTCACCTAGCTAGTTTCTGTAATGGTCCGGAGCAGGAGTCAAGTCCCATGATAAATATTACTGAAGTCACTAAACATAAATTGACTTTAGATCTAACTTACGTAATTAAACCACATTGTTATATGTTTTAACTTACAAACCTTTTTACTGTTAGTTACTAGATAATTAAACGTTATCTCTCATTTCGCAGCAACCCCGAATCATCCTGTTGAAGGAGGGAACTGACACTTCCCAGGGAGTCCCTCAAATAGTGAGCAACATCAACGCTTGTCAGATGGTAGTGGAAGCTATCCGTACCACTCTTGGTCCCAGAGGCATGGACAAACTCATTGTGGATAGCAGAGGTAAGGAGTTAATTATCTACATCTGGTTTCTTTATTATGACAAGTAAGACTCCTCTACCAAGTAGACTTTCGAGTGATGATACATAATTATCACATAATTAATACATTCTTTGATTCTAGGAATATATATTGTTTATTAGAAAATTAATAGTAATCTATCCATTGAATTGATTCTGAAACTAATTACAGAGAAAGTAACGATTTCTAACGATGGTGCCACAATCCTTGGTTTACTGGACATCGTACATCCAGCAGCCAAAACATTGGTCGACATCGCTAGATCTCAAGATGCCGAGGTACACAAAACTTAGCAATGTTACCATGGCAACAAGCTTTACAATTTTCCGTTCTCGATTTGAGAAAATGTTTCAAATCTACATTTTATTGCAATAGAAAGTCTAAATACAAGATATTGTCCCATGTTTTATGACTCCTTGAATCACCCTTCAATGGTATAACGGTTAATGAACGACAGGTTGGTGATGGTACAACGACCGTTACGTTGTTAGCTGGAGAATTCATGAAGCAAGCCAAGCCTTACATCGAGGATGGAATGAACTCTCAAATAATCATCAGAAGTTTCAGAAAAGCCACCGCTTTTGTTAGTTTCTTTTCCGTTTTATTCAGTAACCGTTTTAACGTAATTATTTTCATATTGTTTCGTTGAATACGTTGAAACAATGGTTTCTAGACTGGTCTCTGAAGTCTTTCTTTCATTTAAGCTTGCTTGATATTGACGAAATCAAGTAATAACGACATTTATCGAGTCGTAAACGTAGCGCGCGGTGACAGTATTAAGTCGCAAGTCCATTCAAAAATACAAAAATGCGCGCATATTGCGTGCTGAAATTTGGAATGTTCTAGCAAGATAGTTTCAACGACTACATCATTCATGCGCTAAACTCACAAAATTTGCTTTTTCATCGAGTAAATTTATTACCTATTAAATATCTCCATTTCAGGCTCTCAAGAAAATCCAAGAGGTTCAAGTGACAGTTAAGAGGGACGATCCTATGTAAGTTTCTGATAGTATTCTATTATTCTGGTTAATTCATTTCGCGATCGTGGCGCTCGTGAACGAGACTACTTGACTCTGAACTATGTGTTAAACTCATTACACAATTATTTTGTTCAGGGAACAGCGTGAACTTCTGAAGAAGTGTGCTTCCACCTCCATGTGCTCCAAACTCATCGCCTACAACAAAGATTTCTTTTCTGATATGGTCGTAGACGCAGTTATGTGTCTTGATACTCTTCTCCCTCTGAACATGATTGGTGAGCTTTAGACTGTGGCAAACTATCTTTTTTCCACTTTTTTGTCGTGATGTAAGTAAGCTGACAAAACCTTTCATTTCTAGTGATTTTCTCCAGTTACAATTTTTGACCTAAACCTTAGGTTAAAACAGATTTACAATTTCTGTACTTGTTCATACTGGTATACATATTATAGTTTATTCAATTTTACTCCTTGACTACACTCTTCGATCGTGTTAAATAGTAGTAAGATGCCACCTTAAATAGTTTACAACATTAAAAACCTTTCAGGTATCAAGAAAGTAACCGGTGGATCCGTTACCGACTCCCAGTTAATTGGAGGTGTCGCTTTCAAGAAAACCTTTTCATACGCTGGATTTGAAATGCAGCCCAAGACATACAAACAACCTAAGGTCCTGAGTTTGAACATTGAACTGGAACTTAAAGCAGAGCGTGACAACGCTGAATGCAGGATTGATAATGTTGAGGTAGGTTTACCATTTTACATCCATCTTATGTTTATTGGTTATTTGTCTTGGCTTCTCTTTTATTCTTAAATTTGTACGCTGGCCATCCTTGGTCGAAGCTGTAAGTTATAGCTTAAATTGTTTATTCAATACCCTTTCAATAGTCTGTGTAATCATATCCAGGAATCATTAAAAAATTTTAGGAATACCAAAGGATCGTTGACGCCGAGTGGAACATTCTGTACGCTAAGCTCGACCTGATGGTAGCTTCAGGAGCCAAGATCATCCTATCAAAACTCCCCATTGGCGATGTCGCCACACAATACTTCGCTGACAGGTATGAACTAAATTAAGTATTCAGACTAAAGAGTATTGGGACTAAAAGTTTGACCGTTACACAAAGGAGCACAATTGAAACATTCTGTCATCTCAATTAAAGATATTATAGATAATTAACCAGAGCATTATTCTAAAATGTCCTCACTCAGGGACATTTTCTGTGCGGGCCGAGTCACACAGGAGGATCTGAACAGGACAGTAAAAGCTTGCGGAGGAACTATCCTCACCACTGTTAACGACATCAGGGATCAGGACATGGGTCTGTGCCAGTTGTTCGAGGAGGTTCAGATCGGTAACGAAAGGTGAGCTTCAGTTAGTAGTATAGAGAATAGATTTCCCCCCGACAACTTTAATTTTTTCAAATTTTAACTGTTTTTCGTGGATGTTATTCCTTGTTTCTAAATATTTGCCGGCTGTGGAACATGTAATCTGAAATCTGAATGTTATTTCTAACAGGTACAATTTGTTCACGGGGTGCCCCAAGGCAAAGACTTGTACCCTCATCCTAAGAGGAGGAGCGGAACAGTTCATTGACGAGACAGAACGATCTCTTCACGATGCCATCATGATCGTCAGAAGGTAATTGTTTAAATTGTTAAAATACACCTTTTACTTTCAGAGCCACAACATGAATAGGCATTTCAGCTAATCGGTCAGCGATTTTTTAATTATTGAAGGCTTCTGAACTTTCCATATTTTTATGTGCAACCTTGATCGGTTATAAATGACATTCGGATAATATTGCTGATGGGAGGGGGTGGGGAGGCGAAGTGAGTTTCTTCTGCATTCAAATCAGAAGGGCTTAGTTTTTCCAAATATTAAAGCCTTTTTTAATTTTCTATTCACCTCCTGCGAGTATTTCTCTTTCACTTTTTCAATCGCCGGCCAAACATAAACATTTTTGGAAGGTTACGACCTTTCGGATAAATTTGATTCGTCCCTCTCACAACCACCCAACTTGACTTATAATCGAACCAGTGTGATGGGGACGTTGCAATTATATCATGATTAAATAGGGAAATATTACTTTCTTGACATATGACTCCGTGGCGCAACGGTAGCGCGTCTGACTCCAGATCAGAAGGTTGCGTGTTCAAATCACGTCGGGGTCAAGTTCTTTTGCATTGCTAAGTAATAATTTTTGACTATTCTAGGGCATTGAAGAACGACTCGATTGTTGCCGGAGGTGGTGCCATCGAGATGGAACTCAGCAAAGAGCTGAGAAATTACGCCAAGACAATTCATGGTAACAGCTACTCGTGCAGTCTTATTTGCTTTAATGCGATTTCTTTTTACAACCATTTAAAAAACATGCTCCTTTTTTAAACACTCTTTTCTTGGAAACTCCTTTTTAAAGGCTCCTTGTTTCAGGAAAAGAACAGTTGCTGATCACAGCTTATGCTAAGGCACTCGAGATCATTCCCAGACAACTGTGTGACAATGCTGGATTTGATGCCATCACAATTCTCAACAAACTGAGACAGAAGCATGCCCAAGGTAAGTATTTATTGGATGCATGGAACGTTTTTTCGCTTATTTTTGTCGCTTTTCTCCTCCTTTTTTAGTGGCTGAATTTAACAGTCGAAATTGAATGAAGAAGTAGATAATGTAAATCTACTACATGTACTACATTTACCTAATCTAATTCTTTATTCAATTTCGACCGTATAGTACTAGTATTGCTATCCTTGATTGCTGCCCTTACTAACATATTCTAGATGATTCTTCTTCAGGAGGAAAGTGGATGGGAGTGGACATCACCTCTGAAGACATCGCCGATAACTTCGAAGCTTGTGTTTGGGAACCCTCTATCGTCAAGATAAACGCTTTAACAGCTGCCTGTGAAGCATGTTGCACAATTCTGTCTATCGACGAGACTGTCAAGAACCCCAACAGCAACTACAAGGCTCCAAATGCTTTACCTGGCAATCAGTTTTAGTATGTAAAAAGTTTTGAGATTGCAGGACAGTTGTTATTTCATGTGTTCACTCGATCGGTATTATATTTGTAATATGGAGTATTTGTATAATATTTTTATATTTAATCACGGAGTTTAATTTGTTATCTGATACTTGTATTATTAAGGAAATTAGAGAACCGTTTAAAAACTAGCCTGAATGAACGTAACATACCCGACGTAAATTAATTTTAATTACATTAAGCAGAATTGTCACAACGGCGTGCTTTGCACAACGCATGAGCTCGAAATCTTGCTCTCGGTAGACCCTTTTAATGCGTTGCGTCGAGAAAGCGCGCAAATTGTCACACAGCATATCGCAGTTAATTTTATGTGCTGCGCGCGGTCTTCTGAATTACGCTACCGTCATGATGTTCGTGTAACTTATGAATTAATGGTATTGAAACAATGCAGCCGAATTATAATATTACATGCTACAATTTCGGTTAGTAATCAGTACCGGTTGTCACTTTTTAATATTTCAAGAAACGTATCTAATGAATGTTTGCAATTGGCTGAACAAATCAAACTAATATGGTATAATTTTGATCTAATGTCAAAGTATTTGCGAGGCAGGTCACCTAAGCTAGTGTATTTGAGCATCTCTGCCACCTAAGCTAGTGTATTTGAGCATCTCTGCCACCTAAGCTAGTGTACTTGAGCATCTCTGCCACCTAAGCTAGTGTATTTGAGCATCTCTGCCACATATTTTTTCTGGAGAGCTTAAAATTCAGCACCCGATATGATCTAGTTTTGATTCCATAACATGTAAATTGTAAATGTATGCGCGTTGAACTTTTCCAGAATCTAGTTGGCCCGCTTATCATTTTTTAGTTCATTATCTCACTTTATGTACTTTATGTATTTTTTATTTATTTACTGATCACTGGGTAGACTTTTTAATAAACTTATCGAGTCTCACATACTACTGTATATCCCGGTATATCCATTTATAATTCGGTACACTTAAAACTTTCTTCCACTAAATAAGATCACGATAAATTACCAAAGATTGCGAGCTTTTAACCATTTACAGTATAAATTAAATTTATTGTTGAACACTGCTAACAATCTCCCAAATGTATACTACACTCCGGTCGGGCACGGAAATGCTAGCTTTATATTACAGTACACAGTACTCGCTGCCTTCTCTCTACGTGTATTAGTCCAGAGTTACTCAAATGTGAATTATCTGCCAGCCACCAGGTGGTATACTGGAGTAGTGGAGGCCGAGTGTTGCGTTAATGTACACTATATCATTACGGCTGCTATTCGGGCTATTGACGTCGCTCTGACGTTCTGATCTGTTGTTCAGGATATTCTCCAATAACCAGCGTCCCCGTACGAAACAGAGGTGTGAATACTTTCGGGTTTCAAGCTGTTCAATTGGTCATTTGAGGGGGTGGAGAAAAGTTAGGTCCTAATAAGGGCTGATAAATACCACTAATATATTTATTAGAACAGTGTGGAGCGTGGTTATTTAAAAGCATTTGTCACATGGGATTTAGGGATAAATTAGATGTTGTATATAAACTATTGTGCTACTCTCTGTATTAGTCTTTGTGTTACTACGCGTGTTGAATTATCACAGCCTGCTGAACAACCACGGAGGCCACACAGGATACAATTCTACACTCACTGCAACTCTCACTATTACACTCACTATTACACTCACTATTACACTCACTATTACACTCACTATTATACTCACTATTACACTCACACCAGATGTCCACTCTCTGACTCTCTCCTGGTTCTTTAATCGCTTGTCGCATGTCAGCGTCTTATTATCGCTGCCTAGCGTCTCTCTGTACTCTAATTCTGATCATTGACATCACAATCTATCCTATTTTTTCTACTTATAAACCCTCCTCATTTCCCTCTCTTCCTCTCTCCCTATCTCTACGTCTGACTTAACGAACTACCAGTAGACTGGTAACTCTTGAATTTGGCCGTATCTGGGACCGTTCATCACAATCCTTTCCTTAAAACGTGACAGACTGCACATGCTCTCAGACTACATAACTATTTCCCTCCTCTGTCTACTGGAATTAGTGAACAGCTCCGAAGTAGGACGGTTTTACAAGCTCGTCTGCTAGGGATGATGTAAAGGGTTATAATGGTAAAGGCTGAGTTCCAGTGGCGCCGTTCCATCCAGTTCTATTTGTACGGCAGCAGTTCTATTGATATGTAAAGCAGCTCATCTGGACGCATACTTCAGTACAGTACATGTAAAATGAACCGAGGCTTGTTATTAGCGGGTGAGAGCTCTATGAGGGACAAATTGTCAACTCTCTCAAATCCTTTGTTTCCTTAAAACAAAGAACCGTCTTAATATTATACATTATAAAGCTTCTAGGTGCAAACTGCAAAGCATAATATGCTTAATATTTCTAAGAAACAGATTTAGCAATATATTGCAAGTTGTTGCTTAACGTTAAAGAGATTTTATGATTAGGTGACGTCAGTATGTTGGGATCGATTAAACGGACTTTGCAAAATGTCATAGACATGATTCATGACGTCAGAGGAAGTAACGAATGGTTTGATTCAGAGTTAAACTCAGCTGCACACATGGAATGTTTAATATTTATAGTATAATTCACCATTATCCAAACGAAGGCTGAGTTATAATCATGGGCGGTATAAAGTTCATTCCCAACGTATTTCTCCGGTCACGTGGCGAAGAGAGGTTAATGAATTTGGTGGACAGACTAGAGAATATAAACCAGGGAGTATTCCTGCATATTATGAGAGGTATCATTGGACCTTGACATTGACTCAAGCGAAAATCACTGGCAAATTATCCGATTGGAACGAGTTAAAGAGTCGCATGTAGCTCTGTGAGGGTGGGATATATTTAGTAGTGACATCGCCGAGCAAAGCCTCGGGGATTACTAAGTTAGATATAAATGACGGGGGAAAACAAGGCTTCACAATCACACATGTGCAGGGTATGAGTTGTGCAATGTATAGAGACCTGGGTATTCGCCACAACACCGGAAAACTTCTTAAATCAGTGACACGTGACAGGTTACTAGGTAACGAGTGTGACACGTGTTTCCTTGCCGCAACTGGGCGCTGGATTGTCCTGACTGACGCGCTATCATCCCCCAACATCTGTCATTGCTATGTTGTAACTTCTAGTGAGGTCACACACTTACAATCATTATTACGTGATTATCTAGAACTCCCTGTTGGGATGTATTATATGTGCTGTATATTATACACCACTTGACACGCCAGCAAATGGGCGTTATCAGGAACTGAAATGTACTCCGCCGCAAAGTTTGAGCTATTTTTGATAATTCCCCGGAATTGTTATCAAATTGTTTCTAGATTATTTCAAGATTGGATACGACGTTATGACTTATGATTGCAATTGGTCGAATTTGACAGCAACTATAAACAGTCTAAAGCATTGCTTTAGTAAAGCAATCTTGAATTCAAAGGGAACAGACATTATCCTGCAAAAGCTAGATTATTTTGTACTCGGCAGGTGTCCACGATCGGACTGATGAGTTCTGCCAGTTTTGGAACTTCTTCAGAATTATTATTAATTTGTTCCCTAGGTCTTATCTGACCGTATTTGTCATGATCAATAGTTCAAAGGAAGATTTTTCAACCACAGAAACTAAATAGTTTTTGCTAGGGTATGCTATTAGATCTAAAGTTTCGCTATTTTTGAGTCTTCCCACAAGTTTTATTAATATTAACTTTGATCTTAGAACTCGCCTCGGTATATTAATTCTAGATTGAATATGACTAAATGATTGAAGTTGGACGAATTTGACAGCAGTAATCAACAGTTCTAAACGGCGATATTTAGCATGTACACTTTGGCCGGACATATCAACAGACATTTATATGTTAAACCAATCGTACGCTTTAACTGTTAATATCACGAGATTCAACTTTCTGAGCTATTATTTAGAACGACCGTGTGTACGTATCCATATTTAGAAACAATCGTTATTGAACTATTGGCATCGCATTTTTATGGAGCCAATCAAGTTCTATCTGTAGAATATTCCGGGGCATTTAGCCAATAATGCTTAGAATTTCTCTTTGGGGTTTCTGCTGACGGCAGAGAATCATTCAAGTGGTCGAAAGTCTTATCTTTGCATAATTGAGATTCATTTGCAATGTTGCAATTAGAATGTCATTAATAGAGCTAATAAACAAGGAGAAGCCCTGCCTCCCCTCAGACAAGATCCAGACCACCTTTAGAAAATTTTACTCGGCTGGCCAGTGAATAATTATCATTGAAATCAAGCCTCCTATTTCACTTCAGAAGGCGGGCGAGGGCTTCTTTCGATCGATAAATCTCAAAGAGCGCCGACCTTCCTCCTTCAGTTTGCTAGAATCAAGCACGAGAACAGTAACCCTATTGAGAATAACCCAACAAGTGACACATTCCAACACTCGCCGCAAATTCCGATCTTTAAATTTTAGTCTTTGTGAGACGCTATTGATCTATATCTCGCCTTTACCGTGTCTTTCATCTACTGGACCGTGCAGTGGCAGGGATACCACTGGGAGGAGATAATGTTACCACCAATTACTCACTCCACACGTGTAATTTGTCTGAGTGGAAATAAATGCTTTTCTGAGCATACCTGACGTGACCTTATCCGTGACCAAGTATCCCTAGCCATTTTTATTCAAATATTTTCACTTCTCAGGGAGTAAGCTTTTAAACAGAGAGAGGTTTGAGAACGGGCAGGCAAAGAGGCAACAATGACTTGATAATAAGGTGATGACATGACAGATTACTAGGTAACGAGCGTGTATTTGAGTGTAAACACTCACACGATAACAGGTTACTAGGTAACGAGCGTGTATTTGAGTGTAAACACTCACACAATAACAGGTTACTACTTACTAGGTAACGAGCGTGTATTTGAGTGTAAACACTCACACAATGACAGGTTACTAGGTAACGAGAGTGTATTTGAGTGTAAACACTCACACAATGACAGGTTACTAGGTAACGAGAGTGTATTTGAGTGTAAACACTCACACAATAACAGGTTACTAGGTAACGAGAGTGTATTTGAGTGTAATCACTCACACAATGACAGGTT